AATTCAACGCAATCTACAGAAAACAAAAGCAGATATTTTATTACCAGGCCAGCATACTTATCGGCTGAAATAAACGCACACAATTTATTATATTTAGTTTTACTTGTCAAACAAAAACAACTACCACCACATGTACTGTGTATTCATGCTTTTAGTTCACAAGCTTGTGAATCAATTTTTAGAAACACGCGAGCATTAAGTGGAATTTACTCAACTATAGTTAATTTTACAGTATATGATTTTTTACGACGTGCCCAAAGACTTTCATTATTGAATGATATTAAATGTAAGCAATCGAATGATGAATCAATTAATAATTTGGCCTTTCCAGTTCATCACAAACATCAAAATAATCGACAATCATCATGTACAGAAAGTCAAAATGAGATTGATCAAATAGATATTGAACAAATTATTACCAAGGCGTACCATGAAGCTATTGATATGCTCGATGGCTTAGAAATATTGAATGTGCTGAAAAACAAACGTGTTCTTGATTTAAAATTATTAAGTGAATATGTATTTAAACAATTAAATTCTAATTCAAAGATGTATGACTATTCATCTCAACGAAGTAATATGGATGATGGTGAATTTGAAATAGATGATGATGATAATGAAACAACCGATGACCTTAACATGGATGATGATAATAATGATAGTTTTTCCTCGAATGATGATTACACTGATGAAGACAAACAAGATGATACTCATAATTCAATAAATACCACAAAAAATGACTTTGCTGGAATAAAGATCTGCAGTAAGGTTGAATCTGACACAGAACATTGTTATTTTAAAGTTACAATTAATGATGATACAAAATATTTACATAAACAAACTGCTTGTTGGTTATTGACTGAAGAAAAAAGTAAATTATCAAACGACCGGCTACTTCGAGTACATCAGGCTAATAAAAATAAAGAGCTTGTCCGGCTAACGGTCAACCAGACTGATTAAAGTAGAACCTATCTATTTCTCAAGGCTGACTATATCATGTTGTAGAGAACACTTTGCTCTGTCAGAAAATGTAGTCGTTTCTTTTTTTTCTCATAAAGGAGAGAAAAGATGCGCGACAGACAACATAGGTAGACTTCTTGAAATATCTATCCGTTTTCGTGCTTTTGAAGAAACTTTTGAAAAAAGAACAGAATTTTAACTAAAAATTGAAGCGTCATATATATTACACATGGCGAGGTTTGGACTTTCTTCTGATATAATTTTCAGCTGCTTTATGAGTAGTAGAAAAAAACAGGGAATATCTGAAAACTCCATAAAATCTGAAGTGAGTGCGTTACCGATTAGGGCTTTTAGTTTAGTTTACGCCACAATCATACAAGCATTTAAGTTGATACTTAAGAACTTCCGTTACCTTTCCATGAACTATCAAAGGGCTAGATTGGTTTTTACTTACATGTTTTTTCTGCCGAAAAAAATGGTAACGCACTCACCTTACCGACCCACTTCCATGTTTTAAACCCCATATATGTATGTTTGATGAGATGGATTGCTTCTATAATAAATGGCTTTCAATATGATTTATTAATGTTGCTATCTTATAGAGATGTCAACAAGCCATGATTTCTCTTGGCTGCACGTATCAGGCTTTAGGTTAAATTAGGTCTGGCAGGTAGACCTACCATCGGAGCTTAGGAGTTCACCAATTCATATTTGATCGGTTGATATGTTGACTGAGGATACGTGTGAATTACATTTTGCACCTTCATCATATATTTCATAGAAATCTCGACTGGCTATTTCCTCCTTTTTCGCAAAGAAATGACAAAATGAAACGAAAACCGAAACCATTACTCGATTGAAATATGGCATAAAAACTTAATA